AGTTGGAAGGAAGGGGGAGAAGTCATTGAAAGGGAAGGGCAGCTTTTGAACAAATGAACTTAAGAGACAGAAGCAGTTTAGGTTGTACCTCTGATGACATTACTAGCTCTACAATGAGAAGTGATCAAAGTTGAAAAAGAAATGACATGTAAGGTATGAGGTAGTGATCCAGCTCCAAAAGTTCCAAGCCTTTCCTCACCTATATCACTTTCTCTCACAGAAATCATGGGGCATAAACTCATTCTAACATTGAGCCACGAAGTAGCAGTAAAATCCAGATTATGAGCTGGGAAGGTGGCTCAGTGGTAGACCGCTTGCCTTGCATGCATGAGGCCCTGGGTTCGATTCCTCAGCACCACATAAGCAAAAAGAAAAAAGCCGGAAGTGGTACTGTGGCTCAAGTGGTAGAGTGCTAGCCTTGAGCTGAAGAGCTGAGGGACAGCGCCCAGGCCCAGAGTTCAGGCCCCACGACCGGACCCCCCCAAAAAAACCCAGATTATGCACTCATAATCAGAGTTTCAAGCTGTTTCTACACCTCCTTTTCAATCCCTCCTCCTCCTCCTCCTCCTCCTCTTCCTCTCCTCCCTCTTCCTCCTTCTTTTTAGTGCCAGTCCTGGGGCTTGAACTCAAGGCCTGGGAATTGAACTCAGGGCCTGGGAATTGTTTCTGAGCTTTTTTTGCTCAAGGCTAGTGCTCAATCACTTAAGACACATATGACATGTTCTTTTCTCTGGAAATAAATCAAACTGCTAGCAAATATTAACATGATAATGTTTCTATGATACTGCAGGTTGATAAGCAAAATGTATTCTACATTCCATGACAGTGTTTATCCAAAGGACTATATTCAGGCTGAGGGAGTAGAATGTTTGCCTTGAGTCCATAAGGTGCTGGGTTTCATCCCAGCATTGCAAAACCAAACCAAACTCTAATCCATCATAATTCACTGTGGCTCAGTCATCTCAAAGTAGCCAGAATGTTACAAATGGCACTGGAAAATAAATGTGAGATACTGTCTTTGGGCTTAATGATGTCCCCAATATTTTATTTTCTAGTGATGAAAATATGCAACAGCTTCGCTTTGTTTTTCAGTCATAAATGCATCAGTCAATTACGTTGGTTATATTACTTTGTGAAAAGACCAGGGCAAAAACCATTATCGAAGGCACTTGCATTCTAAGTGCACTTTTCATCATGGTTTAAGTGCATCAAACATTTTTAAAGTATGTTCGATTATTTTAAAATAGCAATTTAAAATTGTTTAATTTTGACATCAAGTAACCCATGCCATGAACAATACTCAGTTTTTACTTTATATAAGTAAAATGGCATTGAAAATAGAGAAATGTAACCTTCAATTCCCTAGAGGATGTGGGTTGTAATGGAGGTAAAGAGTCGCTAGGTGGCTCTGCCCTTTTTAAATAAAACTAAAGGCAGCCAAAGATGAAAGAAATATGGTTAAAGGAACAAACTATCCCTACTCGATAAAACTTCAAATCAAAATAACAAATCATTATCTGCAACCCTGGACTCTAACTCAAAAAAAATTGGAGTTACTGGTTTAAGAATTAGCACCTAAAGAAAAATTGTAAACTTATAAAGTATATCCAGAAGGTAATTGGCAAAGGGATGAAGAAAGTATAATCTTAATAATGTCAATTACTATGGAGAAGATAGCCTCAAAGTTGTGTTGTTGTTTTGTAATTTATTACCGTCTAGGTGTCCAACTTTTCTTTGGGATTTACTCTTTTTTTAGCTTAAACTTTTATATTTACAAACGAATATTAAATTTCGACATTATAATACTAAAAGTTACTTTCTGGTTTCCTGGATCAAAGTTGTCATTCTTACTAACACCCCAGTAGAAATCTCAAAACAAAACCAGAAAACTTTTTAGGCCTTTTGGGAAGGGAGTTGGGAAGCAGTGTTTACCTAAATTAAGAATAGACAAGATTCCTTAAACAAAATATGATCAAGACAAATATGATTCATTTTTTCAGCCTTTTCCAGAAATAGAGTGCATCTCCTTCCTGGGGGAGGGGGAGAGGACCAAATATTTACATTGGAACAAAGGTCTACATTTTACATACCCATTTTTACTAGCTAAAATTATTTTTAAAGAGGTGAGTTGTTAAAGTACTTAATACCACGAAAATAAATCCCTCATGGAATTTGTTTCCAAATTATTAAATATTTTAAATGTCAATCTTCAATCAATAAATAGATGTTTTTAAAGAACCTTTTTCTCCCCCTTCCCCCTCGTCGTAATGAGAACTTCAGACTTGCCACTTTTAAAGAACATGTTTATGAACGCTTTCCATTGTGAAAGTGCAGGTTTTCTTATTTCTGTTACCATGCTTTAAATCACAATTGCATGATTTTACTGGTTTTGTTGGTTGGTTTGTTTTTCCAGGTGGGGAGCCAAATTAAAAGTGGAGGGGGGGGAACAACATTTAAAAAGTTGAAGGCAAATTTCCCTCCCTCCCTCCCTCCCCCCCTCTCTCCCTCTCCCCTCTCTTCTCTCTCTCCTCTCTTCTCTTCTCCCCCTCCCTCTCTCTCCCTCCCTCCCTCCCTCCACAAACACACACTGCAGAGCAGTTTAAATAATCTTAAACTTTCAACTTTAAAATGCTAATTCCAAAGCCGCTTACTTAAATGTCTTTGAAAGGGTCCAATTTACAAAAGACAGCAAAACCTCACCAAAAGTCCGAGCAGACCGACCTTCAAACGAACCGGTGCTTTTCAAATATGAACAAACGCAGTTTCATTAGAAAAATTCGAACGCTGATTTCAGGGGCTGGGATCTCGGAATCCAGGAGAAGGGTCGCACCCAGGGCGTGAAACCTGAACGGGCTGTAAATCCCATGTAGTAGGGTGGAGTAGGAGAGCTCGGGGAAGAGGAAAGACGAAATCCTAACTCAATCACGAAAAGGTTTGACTATAGTTCTTGGCGCAGAAAGACCTTTGGGGTTGGGCACCTCAAACGCTCGTGTGGACTTTCTAGAAAAAGGGTTGCAGGGTCTGGACGGTCCTCGTTCTAGTATATGTTATCTTATTGTGTTATGAGAGTAGCAATGCTTGGGCTAGAATACGGGGCACCTTCTCTCCGTAAACTGGAGGTGCGGGCCTCCCGCGTGAGTATGGGGGGTAAGGGGGGGGGAAGTGTCCCGGGATGGGATCGGGGCAGAGATGGGTCCCTGGGTCCCGCCCCGCTCAAGGGCTCGGCGTGCTCGGCGCGCTCGGCTGCCGCGCGCGGGCAGGTGGGGCGTGGCAAGGGCG